CTGTATTAGTCCATTTCTGTTGCTTATAACAAAATACCTGGAACCGGGTGATTTATAAAGAAAAAAAAATTTATTGCTTAGTTTCTGAGGCTGGGAAGTCCAAAGTCCAGGCAACACATCTGGTGAGAGCTTTGGTGGTGGCGACAGTGAAGGCAGAGTATCACATTGCAAAAATGGTGGAACAGAGAGAGAGTAACCTCCTCATTCACTGTCCTTTCAAAGCCATCCAAACCTTGCCCCTGTCCACCATTATTAATCCATTCATTACAACATGGTCCTCCAATCTCATCACTTCTTCAAGACCCCACCTTTCAATTACCATAATAGGATTTCCCACTTTCAGCAGTTACAGTGAGAATTAAGCTTCTGGTATATGAATTTTGAGGACACAACTCAATCAATCCACATCACATACTTTTTAAAAAGAAAATAAGAACATAAATACATATGTACTGGTTAATAAATAGGTTCTTGAGTATATGATACCAAGAGTTTTATAGACTCATGGTGAAAGGACATTGAAACAAAATTTCCACCAAATAATTTGAAGTGAATTATTCACAAATTATGCAACATTATGTATGAAATCTATAAACTATACAAAAAATATGTTTTGTATCTTAGAACATAAAATCTGAATGTTAACTATGTGAGTTAAATGTAAGTGTGTTTCATTTAATAAATGTTCGTGTATATATCTCATGGTTTGTTCACTATATAGCTTATTAGGAGTGCTTTCTGACCATTTAAATGCGGAGATTGCTGGTGGTACAATAACATCTAAGCAAGACGCAATGGATTATATCACTTGGACTTACTTTTTCCGACGTCTTGTTATGAACCCCAGGTAAGTGCAAAGATTCTATAAAGGCCAATTATTTACCTTGATATTTTGCAGTGAAAAAAANTTGTTGTTGTTCAATTTACTATGGTCATTTTCTCAGATTCTTTGCTAACACTGTTTTTAATACCTGCATATTATTCCATGATCATAACTTACTTAGCCTTTTCTTTTTTAGACATTGCTTCTTTTTTTAATTTTATGCAAGAAACTAAAATGAACATTTTATTATGCCAGTCTTTTAACACATTTAATCATCTTTGTATACTCCACAATACCTAATGCAATAATGTCTTATATTGCTAGTCTGTTATATTATATGACTTACTATTCACTGAATGAATGAAAAGATCTTTGCTCCCTCCTCTATCCTATTATCCCATTCTTGCTAATTCTTCTTTAATCTGCCTCAGAATCTATCCCATACTTCCAATTCCCTGTAAGTATGTTGTTTCCTGCTCTCCAAAATATCTCTTTTGCTGCCTGTTCTTACTCAACTTCTCTTGGCTCTCCTCTTCTCCTCCTGAAAGTTACTAGCTCCCTTCCTGTCAGCCAATGCTTATGTTCATTTAGCAATT